CAAATTCGATTTAGAGAAGTTCAATGGTTCGAATGATTTCACTATGTGGAAGGTGAAGATGAAGGCCCTTCTAGTTCAACAAGGTTGTGTAGCGACACTAGAAGGAGAAACAAAACTGCCAAAGCACATGGCAGCTGAAAGGAAGGTGGATATTCTTTCAAGAGCGCATAGTACTATTCTGTTTAGTTTGATAGATGAAGTACTGAGAAAGGTCGTGGATCAAATAAGTGTATCTCGGCTTTGATAGAAATTATATGACAAGTAACAAAACAATTCTCTGACGAACAGGGTATACTAGAGGCAACATTTTTAGGATGTTGGAAAGCACCCAAGTGAAGGATCATATAGATAACTTCCATAGGATCATCTTGGACTTACAAGGTGTGAATGTAAAGATTTAATATGAAGATCAAGCATTTATCCTCTTATGTTCACTGCCAAATTCTTATGAGAATTTTGTTGATACCATGTTGTATGGTAGGACAACGATCACTGTAAACGATGTGAAGGATTATTTGATGTCTAAGGAACTAAAAAGAAAAGTTTTAGTTGGAGAAGAAGTTTCCAGTTCCGGTTTGTTCATAGGAAGTGGATGAACATCATAGAGAGGTAGATGTAACAAAGGGAAGTAAAGTTCTGAATCTAAAGCCAACATCAAATGTTATAACTGCAAGGAAAATGGGCACTTTAGAAGAGATTGTTCATTGCTAAAGAAAGGGAATAATGGTGTTGGACTAAGTAACAACAATATTGTTGTGTTTCAAGGAAATTCTGATGAAGGGGATAATGGTGAAGTTTTAACAATATGTACATATAGTTCTATTGATGAATGGATCTTGGACTCTGCAACATCTTATCATATGACATGCAATCATGACTTGTTCGACTCCTTCAAAGAGTGGAATGGCACCGTCAAGATGAGTGATGATTACATGAGCAGTATCAAGGGTAGTGACATGATGTAAATCAAGATGAATAATGCTATGGTCAGGAAACTGGATTGATGGTTCGTCCCGGAGCTTCGAAAGAATTTGATTTCTCTTGGCACATTGGTGAAGGATGGATTGAAGTGTTCCGGAAAGGGTGACTGGTTAAGAGTCTCCAAGGGTGCTCTTGTAGTTATGAAGGGAAGGATGAATCATCATGGGATTTATACCTTGGATGGTTGTACGGTTAGGGGAATAATGACTGTATCCTAATCCTTGGATCGGTATGATGACGAAAGTAAGTTGTAGAATCATAAGTTGGGGCATTTAAGTGAGAAGGGGTTGTTTGATGGAGATGCGACTGGAAACGCTAAGCCTGGTGAAGCTTGTGTTCAAGAGATACAACGCAGGGTGAAGTTCAGTTCAGTTCAACACTCAAGCAAGGAGATCCTAGAGTGTGTTCACTCAGATCTATAGGGTCCCTCTCATGTGAAGTCTCATGGTGGATGTCAATACTTTGTGACTTTTATCGATGATTACTCAAAGAATACTTGGGTGTACTTTCTGAAGACAAAGGACCAATATGAAGTGTTTGGGCGGTTTAAGGAGTGGAAGATGATGGTTGAGAAACAGATCGGGAACTATGTTAGGTCACTCAAAACAAAAAATGGGTTGGAGTTCTGCAAGGATTCATTTGAAAACTTTTGCAAAATAGAAGGTACAGTGAGGCATCACACTGTACAACTAATACTATAGCAAAGCAAAGTGGCAGAACATATGAACCAAACACTGGTGGAGCATGATCAGTGCATGTGATTATCTTCTTATTTATCGGAATAATTCTGGGCAGAAGCAGTCAACACTACTTGCTATCTGGAAAATAGATCTCCATCAACTGCAATTGATTGTAAGACTCCTTAAGAGGTGTAATCTAGGAAACCATCTGAGAATTCATGTTTATGAAAGTTTGGATGTCCTGCTTACGCTCGTGTGAATGATGGTACACTGGAGTCGATGCCAATGAAGTGTATATTTCTAGGATATACATATGGAGGGAAAGGTCATCATTTGTGGTGTACAGAAGAAGGAAAGTCTCCAAAATTCGTTATTAGCAGAGATTTGACAGTTAAATCTACTGTGTGTAGCCAGAGAGGAGGTTGTACAAGTGTTACGGGGAACACTCAGGGTGCTAGCCAGAAGGTGAAAACCCCATATAGTTTTGTGACAAATATGAGACAACAAGGTAGTATGGATAAGCATGGATGTGAGGAATCCCTTTATTAACCCAGGGAAGAAGTGTCTGGTGATGCTGATGTCAGAAAAGACAACTTGATGAAGCTTCTGGAGAATGAACTTGTGATGATTGATTTAGGAGCTGAAAAGAAGATAACAAGGATGGAGATTTGGAGTGATATAAGAGCAGGATGGTTATACATTTCTCAATATATTGAGAAAGTCTTGCAGTTGTTCTATTGTGATCAGTCCAATCGTGTTGGTATTTTTTTGGCAGTTAAAGGAAATCAGGGGAAATCTCACTGGGAAGTAGTCAATTGGATCTTGCGACACTTGAAGGGAACGCTTGATGTTTGTATGGTGTATGGTGCAAATGGACGACATACGGACTTGGTTGGATTGATAGACTTGAAACATAAAAGTGATCTGGAGATAAGAAGATCATTAGCGGTTGGTCTTGCTCAGAGTCTTCTTTTGAAGGTGGATAAATCTGTCATGTTCTATGATAGGTTATGCATTCAAAATTCGGGTGCCAAGGAGAATCCGGAAGACATGGTGACAAGGACGTTGCCCATAGGGAAGTTCAAGCTTTGCTTGGTCTTGGTTGATATTCGCAGGAGGTAAGCCCCTTTGGGGCTTGTTAGAAAATATGGAGAGGAAGTTCTTATTTAAGGTGGAGTTCAGAGGATGCTCAAGTCAAGGTGGAGATTATTAAATGTGAATTGAGCATTTGGAGCATTCTCATGGACTAATTGAGTTCAACGCAACACTTAGAACTCAATGGAGCAATTGAGGTTCATGGATCAAATGACAAAGGAATGAATCATATGAGATGGCTTTGGATCATCTGACAAAGGAACGGATCAAGTGAAAAGGAACAGATCATCCAAAAGGGGGTTTGGAGTAACTTGGAACAACATGGAGCTACATGTTGTGCCATCCAAGAAGAAGTTGCTTCATCCAAGTGGATGTTGTGCCATCCATGAGCATGTTGTACCATTTGGTCAACTTGTGATGGTCAATTGGTGTTCGTCAACTGATAATGTTCAACTGGTGATGGCCAATTAGTGATGGTCAACTAGTCATGATGCGCCATCAAGAAGGGAATTTGCACAAATGAGGAGAAGTTGTGCAATGTTGATGAGATGTTGCACCATCATGGTCATCTTGGTCCATGATGAACCATCTTGATTCCTTTGATGTGACATGTTGATCCACGTATGCTTAGAAGATGATCATGCTCAAGAAATACACCTTGTTGTGCCACCATGATGGATGTTGGGCCATTAGTGTTGATGATGCGCCACCTGTGCATCATGATGGTCCACTATGGCCAAGGTGCTCCATCATGTGTGTTGCTGATACACATGGGTTGTATGACATGAAGAATGTTCTAGAAGATGTTGCGTGGCAGAATATGATTGGTTGTCACCATTCACGGGCCTATGGGCCAATGGGCTTGTCCCATTACGGTTTTAGGTCTGATTCCTCAACTATAAATAGGGATACCTGCTTACTCATATGATATGTCTTGTGTCTTTTGTATCCTTAGTGAGTAGGACGAATCTCTGGTGAATTATACTTGTAACCTCTGCTTGAGAACTCTGAAATAAAGAATACTCTCCTCCTGCCCGTGGATGTAGGTCACCTTGACCGGAATATGTAAATATTGTGTCTTTGTGTGCTTTTAGTTTTGCTTGTTATCCGTATTACTTCCTAACAAGTGTCATCAGAACTTGGCAAATGGCATCAGATTTATTCTGAGTCTTGACAAATATTGTCTGATTTCCTATCATATTTTCATATTGCAAAATAATAAAAATCTATATAAGACGGCTATGGTTTTCTTTATTAAGAGAAAACATGATTACAAAGAAAAGAAAAAAGATACCGGAAATTAGAAGCTATCTATGGTTAACCTACATAAAATTCTAAACAAAAGCCCATTATAAAAACAACTAAATAATTAATTATGATAACATCCCCTCAATCTCACAATACGACGGTAGTAGGCATTGTAAGTTTGTTAGATAATAAACCAGATTGAGAGACCGATTAAGCCTTCGTGAAATATCAACAATCTACAAGGTTAATGAAATGTATGGTAGTTGATGGTTCCGAATTGTAAATGACGGTGAGTAAAATAACAATCAATCTTAATATGTTTCGTATGCTCATGAAAAAGGTAATTCTTTGCAATGTGCATCATACTGATCTTGTCATAATGTAAAGGGTAGGTCGGGAAACATCAACACCCATATTTGCAAGAAGTGAATGAAACCAAACAATCTCACAACTAGTCACAACCATAGCTCGCTATTCAGCCTCTACTGAAGATCGAGATACGATATTATTTTCCATTTTTTAGAAATAAACGGTAAAAAATTAATCCGCGAAACAGGTGCTCATTAAGAACTTTTCTACAATCATCAAATAAAAATTCGGATAGAATTCTGATATCATTTATACTAATACCAATTTATAGAGAACTACTATGGTTTCATGAGAGAAAATCTTAATTACAATTAGATGAAACACGACTATAAATAGAATATATATATAAGTTTAGGGTGGAGAGAGTTCATCCCTCCCAACCCACATGTCACTTAGAAACCATATCAATTTTTCTTTTTCCTATCATTTTCATCTCTTCCAACCAACAACATATGAAAATTTATTTTAAATCAACCACATTTTTTGGTATAAGTTAATAAGTTATCATGTATATTGTACAAGTGGAATGAGAGAAAATTGGGTGGGAGCAGCAGGTTAACCAAACCGCTCAACCCACAAAAACCACGGTATAACACCGCCCACGGCGGAACTGTAGTGTTGCAGATAATGCCTGCGTCTCGCCTCCCATCTGTTGCCACTGTGTACACTCTAAAAGGCTAAATAAAAACTCATGCATTACTTATCATGCTAACGCATATAACATGACTAGTTTTCCTATAACTACTAACTTTTTACATAAACTAGAAAACGGTCGAGCTTAACTACTACATAAATTTACACAAAGAGCGTATTTTACTATGTGACACATTAAACTCTTATATATTATGCGTATATACCTATACATAGAGAATGCCGGCTAAATTATTAATTATAAAATAATGCTGTGTAGGATAACATTTTGTATGTTTGCCTTAACTACGTCTTCCTCCCTACAGCATAAACTCAAATACATGCTCTGATGGATCTGATTCACAAGCTCTTAAACCTTATTCTTCCTGTTTTAACCATTATCCTATTACTATTGCTTTATCCCCTGGTATTAGTATTCAGGTTCTTCAACTACTTCATTAAATTCGCTTTCCCTGAAGACCTCGCCGGAAAAGTAACGCTGATCACCGGAGCTTCTTCTGGTATTGGCGAGGTAAAGTACAAGCAGTTTTAGTGTTGAATCATCGATATTTGCATTGAATTTTCATTTGTAATCAGCATTTTAAATTAAGATTAACTAACAAAAGATGGGTTCGGTGTTTGTGAACTGATTTAATTGAAGTATGTGGCGTATGAATATGCAAAAAGAGGAGCGCGTTTAGCATTGGTTGCAAGACGAAAGGAACAACTGGAGGTGGTTGCGGAGAGGGCGAGGGAGTTGGGGTCGCCGGAAGTGATCGTGATTTTCGCCGACGTTTCGAAGGTCGATGACTGTAAGCGGTTTGTTGACGAAACCATCCACCATTTTGGTACCTGTGAGTGTTTACTGTTTCCTTTGCTCCTTGTTCGTTGACCAACCTCTCACTTCTAAATTATTTATTATTTTTTTTCTCAAAATATCTTTTCCTTTAATTTGTTTTTAAAATTTTATTATGTCGTAATCAATTTTTATTTTATTCTAAATTGTAAGGAGCCTACAAAATGATGTCATATTTTAAAAAAGAATACGAATATTAATATTTTCTTTAATACAAATAAAGGAAGACGTATTTATAATTGGATTAGTTTTATTTAATAAAAATATAAACCAACCACAACCAATAAAGAAATGAGAAAGTAAAACAAGCAAATAAAATACCCATTTTCTATGTTTTTTTCTTTAATTAATTAATTTGTTTTATATGGAAAAGTGAATCATTTAGTGAACAATGCCGGAGTGTGCTACGTTCAGGATCAAAGATGTTCTTCAGATTATGTTTCACTCATGGTACTAGATAGTAATCTAGTTCGTATAATCAAATTTAAATAAAATCACAACTTACTAACCACCTTGAAGTTACTAATTGTTTGATTTCAATAGGACATAAACTTTTGGGGTTCGGTGTATACAACCCAATTTGCACTTCCACATTTACGTAACAACAAAGACAAAATAGTCGTCATTTCTTTTTGTGCCAGATGGTTTGCCACGCCAAAATTAGGGATTTATTGCGTAAGAACAAGAAGTGTTAGATATCAATATCATTACTTGTTTTGATTTGATTTGAGCTATATCAAAAAATTGTAATTATCGTGTTTAATTTGGTCCTTGTTAGGCAAGCAAAGCGGCACTAATAAGATATTTCGAAACGTTACGTGTCGAGGTTGGTTCAGATATTAGGGTGACAATTGTTACCCCAGGAGTTGTCAAATCAGAAATTACAAACGAAAAATGGCTATCTCAGGTAAAATAGATGGTTTTGGGATGTCATCTTTGTAAAAAAGATGAATTGCAGTGTGGAAGTTTTAATTTCAATGTGGATTAGGATTCTGGACTGACTATTGTTATTGTTTACTCGATCTACATGTGACATGACTATTGTTGTGCAGACAAACCTAAATTGGGCACCGATAGTGTCAACACAAGATTGTGCTAAGGTGATTTTAGATAGTATAAGACGTGGAGATGAGTATTTAACGGAGCCAACATGGATGAAGATTCTTTTTATGTGGGAAACAATTTGTCCTGAGATACTAAAATGGACTATACGCTTTTTATTCATTACATGCTCGAAATATTCTCAAGAAAACAAGAAACATAGTTAATTAGAGATGGCATACAGAGTGATGTCACTTTAGTATGTAAGCGGTCATAATGTGGTTATTAATGTTTTCGGCTTTTGTATGTTTGATAAAAAACTGTCAAAACAAGACAGTCGTGTGTAATGTAATTGTCGATTTCAGAATATGTGATTTTGATTCAATATTATTTGTTTATTGGCTAATATGAGAATCCAAAGTTAGCTAATGTTACAATTTACGACAAATTGTATAGAACACATTAAATTTATATAAAATTTAGAATTTGATATTTTGTTTTTTTTTTCTCAATTAAGTCATTATTGTTATAACTTTAATGCAAATTTAACCAATCGGTCAGTTTTCTTCGGATGTTTTAGGTTTCTCACTTGTTGAGTAGGCAAAAGGTTAATATGGCTTTTTATATATGATTTTTATTGACAAACATTTTGGTTAAATTGAATACTTAGGTAGACTTGTACCCACTTTCATTTATTTTTTATTCTTTTTCTTCTTTCAAAGCAACATGATTTTGTATAAATGTTTTCTAAAGTAGCTTGAGTGGTTTATCATCCCTCGATGGTGTAAGTAAGGAAATGAATGTTTCATTTAAGAGATGTTATTGTGGACCACCTTCATTATCTTGCTTACACCATTTAAGGATAATGAACCACTTGAACGACATTTCGAAAGTCATTGCACAAATCGTGACACTTTGAAATAATAAAATAATAAGAAATAAGGAAAAGTACAAATCTACATAAAGGTTCAATTTAATCAAATTTGCTAACTAGGATAATATGTGAAAGTCACATCAACTTTTTTACTAAATCAGTAAGTGAGAAACATGAAACACCTCAAGCAAATCAGCCAATTGATTAAATTTGCAACAAAATTATAAACTTAGTGATTTAATTGAGAAAAAAATATTCAATGTCAAAATCAAAATTATGTGTAAACTTAGTGACTTTTATACAAATTGCCCTATATTTTAAAACTATTTTCAAATCATTTTTCTATTAATTTTATCCATTAATTAAATATTTACATTCAAAGGTTAATCTGTTCTAATATGTGATTTTATAAATTTAACTAATTTATCATCGCCTATCTAAGATGTTTAAAAAAAAACTATCTTGCTTAATTTGTCGGTCTTTAACACATCATATTTTAATACAAATTTTTTTAATAAAAAAGTTATTCATATACATTAATATTTAAATACAACAATATAGGATTTATTTGAAAAAATACAAAAATATGAAAAAAGTTATTACGTTTGATGTAAGGATAAACTACAGAAAAGTAATTATATTTGAACTTTTTCGATTTTAACACTAAGGATTTTTTTTATAATTTAGACATTGTATTTTCAAATTTTTTTTGCAATCCTCACCATTTTCCCAATTGTCACGACTCATGTTGCAATGAATGTTGACATGAATGTTGACATGACATGCTAACTTGATGTCTTAAAAAACTACTATTTGGTTATGTGACGCTAACATGACATGATGGAGTCTCAAAATTGAAAAAATTGACATAAAAATACACTATGTTTTCACCTTTTCAGTTTTGATATTAAATTTTCATGTTTGTCAATTTGACATTATTAATTTTGTATTAAATCGAATATCATTTTTTTCAGTTTCGTTCATTGTTGACCATTTTCCATTTGAAACTATATATATAACTTTTTTTTACATTAGAAAACGTATACATACATTTTTTTTACATTTAAATACCAAATTGAACGGTATTAGAAAAAATGAAGTTCGATTTGAAACAAAACGTGGAGTGTCAAAGTAAATTAAAAAAAAAAGTAAAAACTTATTGACAAATTGTTTTTTTAAATGAAAACTTAGTATATTTTATACCATTTTTTTTCAGTTTTAACACACAATCATGTCATACAGCGCCAGATAAGCAAATAGTGACTTATTATCATGTCATATCAGCGTCTCATGCCACGTCAACAATGGCAACCGGGTAAATGGGAAAATAGTAAAGATTGCAAAAACTGGAAAATACGACTTAATTGCAACAAAAAAAACTGTCATAATCGGAAAAAAAATACATGAACATAGCGACTTTTGTGCAATTTAATTGGTAAATAAATAACAAATATTTAAAATTTAATATATTTTAAAGGATAAAATAAATAACTAGAGGGTTTTGCCCATCCTTTGCATCGGGTGGATGAGTTATGTTTAGAGATGCATAGTCTCTTTTATGTTTAGAGATATACAGTTTTTTTAAAATATCATATATTTCATTACACGGTAGAAACAAAGTATAGGTTACACAGGAAATCCAAAAGAAATAACAAAGACGATTAAAGACAAATGTTAGCAAAAGTCTATTAAGATATAACCCGGTCATATTTATCACCTAATATTTAGCACACATGTATATTACTTTGTCTATATTGTTCACGTGTATATCTCTCACAGTTAGTTGTATCTTCATTATAAAAACCCAAGATGTATTCACTGGAAAATATATGAAAAATACAGAAACAAATTTTCTCTGTATCTCCTCAAGTTCTGTTTCCTTATATGGTATCAGAGCTTCGCTCGGTACACACCACACTAGAAAAACTCATCTCCTCCCTCTCCAAAACACATGGGAACCAACGACAATGCATCTTCTTCTTCTCTCACTGTCAATACCACACTCAAATACATCACCATTGTTAATTTCCCAGCAACCCTAAAACTCACATCCACCAATTATCTTGGGTGGAAAACTCAGATCGAAGCTCTACTACATGGCTTGGATCTATATCGCTTTATCGATGGCTCACACCTAGCACCTGCACCAACAATCGCAACCGATGGAACACGCACACCCCACGAAGACTATCCGAAGTGGTTCAGGCAAGATCGACTCCTCTTTGGTGCCCTATTTGGAACCCTTTCTCCTAAAATTGTACCACTGGTAACAAACGCATCTTCTTCCCGTGAAGCCTGGCAAACCCTAGCCAGTACATATGCATCTCCATCAAGAGGACACATCAAACAACTCCAACATCGGCTAAAGCAACTCACCAAAACCTCCAACCAAACCATCACTCAATATATGCAAAGTATCAAAACAGTGGTGGACGAGCTCGCTATCCTTGGGAAGAAACTCGATCAGGAGGACATCACTGATGCAGTTGTCAACGGGCTTGATCAAACAACTTACAAGCCAATTCTCAATGCTCTTCATGCAAGAGACTCACCCATATCTTTCACTGAACTACATGAAAAACTCATAAATCATGAATTATCTATTGCTCAAAAGGTCTCAAATGTTGATATCCATCAACCTGCTGCTGTTTTCTATTCAAACCATCAGACTACTAAGAAAGCATGCCCCCCCTAGACCACAAAACACCACTTTTGGCTTGCTGCCTACACCCTCAAAACAACCTAATCAAGTATCCCCAACCACTGGCCAACGTCCCTTTCTCGGGAAGTGCCAATGGTGTCACCAAAAAGGACATTCCCTTACCAACTACTCAACCTTCAAAAGGATATTTCCAACTGCAACTGTCCCTCCTTATCGCAACCTGCAGGTTCAAAATTCCCAAGCTCACGTCATGAATCCAATCAACACCTCAAACACAGCCAACTGGTTGTTCGACAGCGGAGCCAACTTTTATGCAACCAATGATCTCAATAATTTATCCATCCATGCACCATATGATGGAACTGAAGAGTTAGTCATTGGTGACGGTACATGCTTAAAAATCTATCATATTGGCTCTGTCATTCTTCACACACCTAAAACACCATTAATCCTCAAACACGTTCTATATGTTCCCTCTTTATCTCGTAACATTATCTCAATATCTCGTTTATGCATTAACAATCAATTTCTAATAGAATTTTACTCTTTTGTTTTTGTCATCAAGGATCTGGCATCCAAAGTTCCACTGTTCTAGGGCACAACAACCAAGGGAATGTATGAATTATGGCCTGCCCTTTCGCCATCTGTTTTCACCATGCATCACACCAGCTCTCTTCTGTGGCACCACCATTTAGGTCATCCACAAAATAAAGTTCTGAAGAAACTATATTCCTCTATTTCTTTTCATTCCAGCACTGATAATCATTGTAATTCATGTCGAATTAATAAAAGTCACTGTTTACCATTCCACACTTCATCTCTTTCATCTAATACTCCTTTAGAACTTATATTCTCCGATGTATGGTGCTCCCCAGTTGAGTCATTTGATCACTACAAATACTATATCATATTTGTTGATCACTTTACCAAATATATATGGCTCTATCCCATGAAAAAGAAATCCGACTCACTTGACATATTCATTCGTTTCCAACACCTAGTTGAAAACTACTTCAACACCAAAATTAAACAACTTTTTTCAGACAATGGTGGAGAATACATCAAACTCGCCACTTATCTTGCCTTATCTAGCATCTCTCATCTCACCTCCCCACCACATACTCCCCCAACACAACGGATATGCTGAGAGACGCCATCGACACATCGTCGAAACTGGTCTTGCTCTACTCTCTCACTCTAAACTCCCTACCACCTTCTGGCCCTTTGCATTTACTACTGCTGCATATCTTATAAACAGACTACCTACATCTACCCTTCATAATCTTTCTCCCTTTCAATGCCTTTTTTCAAAAAGAACCAAACTATTTGAAACTCAAATGCTTCGGTTGTCTATGCTATCTAACCCAAAGTGCCTACTACACTTATGACCCTCTCTCAAGAAAAATCTACACATCAAGACATGTTGTGTTCATTGAACATGAATTCCCATAGCCAACACTTGCCAAATATCCTACACCAGGTTCTCCAATTGATTATAATCAATGGATTCCACTATCATTCCCAATTTCACAATTTGATCTTTCCCCCACTACTCCAACATCTTTCGCCACCTCTCCTACCACTCTCCAAAATCCTTCTCCCATTCTCAATAATCCTCATCCACCCCCCCCCCTTTCTCCTCCTCCTCCTTCTCCTCCTCATCCTCCTCCTCCTTCTCCATCTCTTCCCCC